AGTCAGTGTGTTCATACAAAATCAAACTGACTTAGAATTATTTTGAGTTGCTTACTCAAAGTAAAATTTCTGAATAAATTACAGGCAATATTGGAAAGTGGATGATTTGTTCTTATTGCCACCATTTCAATCACTACTGGTAGCCACTCTATTCATCTTATCATTTTATCCATTTCCGTAGTGATAAAAGCATGAAGTCATAGCAGGCAGACGGAACAGTACAGAACAGATTAGTGATCACCAGGGGACATGTATGAGGAAGGACAAGGAGAGTACAAATATAAAGGGGTAGCACCAGGGAGTTCCTCTGTGGTAATGGAACAGTTCTGTATTTTGGTGTGGTTACATGAATCTAGTTATGGGATGAAATTGGATAGACATGCACACTTGATTGTATATAAAAAATGGTGAAAATGAACAAGGTCTGTAGTGTACCCAATAGTACTCTAGCAATGTCAATTTCTTGTTTTTTGATATTATACTACAGTTATATAAAATACCACCATTGGGAGAAGCTGAGTGAAACATTTACAGGACTCTGTGTATATTTTTATAAATTTCTGGAAACCTATAATTATGTCAAAATATTAAGTTTAAAAATTACAGGCAGCAATAACCAAGCTTCCCCCTTTTTTGTGGGGTGAGGTGGGAATGAAAGAGGAGGTGCTCATGGGGCAGGCAGCCTAAATAATTTCCCCCAGAGGAGAGTATATATGGTTCTTGTTAATGGTGAGCCAAACATCAGTTCCTGCCACTGGTTTAGATGTTAGGCAGTTATTAGATTAAAATATGGCTAATAAGGTAACTGTACCATAGCGGGCACACTGTAAATAGAACACAGTGACTTTCACAAGAGTATGTGAAAGTTACATCTGATAGCTCTCCGGGCTGACAGCACCTCATGTGATAAATTCTACGTTTGTCTATGCTGTCGGTATCTGGCTCCACCAATGTATTTGCCCATGAACTTGCTTCAGGCAATTTATAGAACAGAATTCTTCCCTCTAGCATCATTATCTGCTAAAAAAAAAACAAACAAAAAAAAAACCAAAAAAACAGTTTTTGCATGTACATGACAGAAAACTTTGGAAATACAGATAAACAGTGGGAAAAATTGCCTATAATCTTGCCATGCAGAAATAAACACCACCAATGAAGTAGTCCTCCCTTATCCTTAGGGCATATGTTCTAAAACCTCCAGTGAATGCCTGAAACCATGGAGAATACTGAACCCTGTATACACAATATTTTTTCATGTACATATATGCTTATGATAAAATTTAATTTATAAATTAGGCACAGTAAGCTGGATGTGGTGGCTCGCGCCTGTAATCCCAGCAATTTGGGAGGCCAAGGTGGGTGGATCACGAGGTTGGAGTTCGAGACCAGCCTGACCAACATGGTGAAACCCCGTCTCTACTAAAAATACAAAAATCAGCCGGGCGTGGTGGTGCGTGCCTGTAATCTCAGCCACTCAGGAGGCTGAGGCAGGAGAATTGCTTGAACCCAGGAGACAGAGCTTGCAGTGAGCCGAGATCATGCCATTATACTCCAGCCTGGGTAACAGAGTGAGACTTTGTCTCAAAAAATAAATAAATAAAATAATAAATAAATAATAAATAAATAAATTAGGCACAGTAAGAGATTAACAACTAATAGAACACTTATAACAATATGTCATAGAAGTTATGTGAATGTGGCCCCTCCTTCTTGTCATTCTACTTACTACGTACTGTGGTCATAACTTTTGCAGTTTTGAGGTACAACAGTGAAACTAACAAATTTCTTTTCCTTTTTCACGATTCACATGATTCATTCCTGCTGTAGATCTTAGCAGCCTCGGTGTATGATTTTTTTCTTTTTTTATTAAGTTGAGAAGTTTCACCTTTTCGTTTAATGGAAGCACCTTACATCCTCTCTTTGGCCTATCCAAATTGCCAGCATCACTATTCTTGCACTTTGCAGCCATTATGCAATAAAATAAGGGTTACTTGAACACAAGCACAGTGATAACTATGACAGCACTGTGATAACTATGATAATGCATGTGGCCACAAAGTAACTGATGGGCAGTAGCATCTACATTGTGGATGTGCTGGACGAAGGGATGATTCATATCCTAGGTTGGATGGAGCAGGACAGTAACAAGATCCCATCACACTACTCAGAATGGCATGCTGTTTAAAACTTATAAAGTATTCGTTTCTGGAATTTTCCAGTTAATATCTTCAGACTGCAGTTGACTGTGGACAACTGAAACCACAGAAAGTGAAACTACTGATAAAGGGAGTCTACAATATTTGGTGCATATTATTCCAATCTTTTTCTTTGTGTATATAAATGCTTTTAAAGATGAATATTAAAGCATACTTTTTATAAACTTATTAATGTGTGCACAATACATTTCCCCCAGATCATTCAGTACTTTTCCACCACCACCATGATTTAATGACTGCATGGAATTGTACCCTGTGAATGTACTTACAGCGTGTTAACCAGTCTATAATTGGACATTGGGCCATTTCCAGTATTCCATTAGAAACAATGTTGTGATGAACAATCTTTGTGCACATTAATGATTATTTCCTAGGATAAAGTCTTAGAAGTGGAATTGCTGGGTAGGCAAAACGTAAGAGCTTTCCATTTATATTGCCTAAGTGCTCTGCAGAAAAATATGCATCACTTTCAAAAATGAAAATTGTAAACCAAAACCTATCTGAACAAGATGCTCTGTGTGAAGGGAAATTTAGGATCAGTTTCTTTAGAGTGATTCATCCCTCCTTAGAGGCAAATTGCTATTACCAAATAGATGTAATGTTTTTACAGAAAAAAGAATAACATTGAAAATATCTAAATAAACAAGCTATGCAAGAATATTTTGCTATTTTCTATTTTTCTTAATCAGTGGGAACAAAATAACTCACTAGCATAAAAAGATAAATAGAATGAAATGCCACCAATGGGGAATGGGGTATTTTCATAGAGCTACATTTCCCTGTTTCCTCATTTGATATTGATTAAAATATATTTTTGGTTATTTTTAAGCATTTTTCTTGTGCACATATACTACTTAATAAAGGAGAAGGAGCAAACATTTAAAAAATGGAGAAAATGTACTGTAGTCGTCATGTGTTGCTGAATGCTGTTGCATTTTTCTAGTTGTGAATGTCCTGTCTATGCTAGTGGGAATGGGGGTCAGGATTCTAGATTAAAGATTACCTTTGATTAGGCATCTCTAGTCATTTGCTGGAACACCTCAATTGTATCTCTTTCTGTATTTCTCTCTGGGTGAAAGTGTTCATTTGATTGATTAGGTAACCATCAAACACAACTTGATCTTTCTTGTTGAGCAGCTAAGTCCTTAAAAAGAGGCTCCTTCTCATGCTGCCACCTTCAAATAATTATGATCATTGTTTTCGGAAACAAGACTTGGGTAACTTTAAAATCAAAAGTCTGAACTTTTAAGTAGGCCATGTATCATCTAGTATTTTTAATTAGCTTCAAATAACAATCAATGAGTATACCCAAAAAACAGGATATTTCATTCTTGTATTGATTCCCCACACTGGAAAGCTGTTAAATGTTTAGATGCTGGAAAAACAACAAGACTAATCCATGAGTGTCTGGCATTTTTTTTCTTCCTAATTGTAAGCGCACCATTTTATATAGTATGTATGTGGTGGTGACATTTTGCTTGAAAATAGTTTATGAGATTAAGGGTACAAAGACCTCTTTTCCTTTCAATTCTGTGCTGATATTTTCTATGATTGTGTTTTATCAATGTCATTGACATTTCCCTCAAAGAGAAGTTCCTTAGGAATCTCCTTGGAATTGGCATTAAATACTCTTTATTGAAAGAGAGATTGGTTTTCTTTTATGAAATTGTTTTCTTCTGCCTCTGTCTATTGGCTAATTATGGGACTTCCCTTTTTCATTTCTACTTTAATGTAATCCTTTCTAAGTTGAAAACAGCCTTGCAAAGAAACTTGCAGGGCATTCCAGGTGCAAAGAGTTCCTCTAACCTAGAATGAATTTTGCAGCATCTGGGAATGGCATATTTTTACCTGTTCTGAATTAAAGTATTTCTGTGTTATAGTGTAAATTTGGTTGCAAGTATTAAATACTAACTCCTATTCTGGAAAGAATGCAATCATCCTTTAAGAACATGTTTTTCACCCAAAGGAATGCCCTCTTTGAGTTTATCTATTCTCACTTGTACCCTGTGCTTTCACTTTCCTGTAAACTCATTATCTGAACCCCACTCCCACCCTGGCCTTTCTGCACTTTTTGTAAAATTGAAAGGAACTGTTTTTCCTGGTGACGAGTGAGTCTTCATATGAAAGGAGATTTATGATAGGTTGGCATGAGCAAAAATTGTGTAGTTTCCTAAATATTTCATACATATACTGTTTAAAAGTTATATATGTTTATTTATATATTAGATATATATGTATATCTCCTTGACTTTGACTTTTACATTTTTAACAAGCACTATTAAAAATTGAATATAAACTTGAAATTTAATGCAAAAGAAATGTAGTTTAAATCTGACCACTAAAGAATCATTCATTTGGCTATGTCTTTTTTTAATCTAGATTTTTTTCTTCAATTAGTATTTCATACACCTGTCGAGAAATTTTGATAAGTGACAAAGACACTTTCACATCAAGGTTATTCATGTGATATCTAAATTTATATATTTATAGCTATAATCTGCTTCAACTCAACATACAAAAATTCATATTTTAAAATAGAAGGTGATTGCTTAAGAGTCAGCCTGGTGGACATGAATTATTCATAAAAATACAACCTACCCTTAGGTTCACATACTGTGTTGATACAGTAAGGAATAGCTGAAATTCTTGTGTAACATATGTATTAAAACATTCTTCATTTATGCTTTATTACACTTAAATGTGATTAAAATGCTAGTGTATTGAAAATTATTGCTCTTTGTTACCTACAAACTTATGTGTTCCTACTTTCTTTTTCTCCAACAGATATAAGCTTACCAAAGTCAGCAACAATATGCTACACAGCTGCTTTGCTCAAAGCAAGAGCTGTCTCTGACAAGTAAGTGAATAATAGCTTGCACGGTACTAATGCCTGACCGGAATTGAGATGTGTTGCCTCTGAGGGCTTTCTCTGGAAGTTTCTCTTAGTCCATGAGACCCCTGCTTATAAGCATGCATTTTCCAAAACCTGCTGTTCTTTTCTTTCACTATTAGAAGGAGGGAATGTGTATCTTCAGGTAATGTAAGGGTGTGTAAAGGTATCCTAAAGCAAGATTTATTTGAAATTCCATACTTCTGAGATGACTTTTTTGGTGTGAGACAGTAGATACCAAAACACCTGCTTGGGACTTACACAGAATGCCATCCTTCTATTCGTTTCCTGCACATTCCTCTCCCTTCAGCAGTCCATAAATGGGCAGTGTCATACACATGTGGAATGTGGCAGACGGGATGGTCATCTCTCATTCTTTGCCTCATCAACTCCAAATTAGCCCCCACTGGTCTGTTAACTTTGAGTTGCCATCTCAATGGGACGTTTGCCTATTTTGTTCAGGCAGGTGACTATGGCATATGGACTTTTCATAAGCATCCAAGGATGCCTGTCAGGTGAAAGAGCCTAGATGGCTTAACTGGTTTTGAGTCCATAAACTCTTACACTTCCCCGATATAATCCCTCTGTAGCATCAAAAGCAGAGAATAGGAAACCAGCCTCTGCTGTATCAGACAGGTTTGCTGTTAAGTGTGTGTACACTTCAAGACCAAAGTAATTTTCTTTCATTCTTTTTTATCCTGTAGATCGCCAGTACCTACTGCAACATCTTTTCTCCCTACACAGCGACTCCAGCTTGGGAGGGCAGGGCCAGGGTTGTCACAGCTTCCCCTGTGGTGTCTGCCTGCCAAGCACAGCTCTGGAGTTAGCCCTGGGTGTGAGGTGAGAAAGAGATTGCATGGTCTGGTTTTTTTCATTCACTCGGGCAGGTGTCTCGCCCGCAGTTTGGGCATGCACACGCCCCCTGCCGGAATGGCCCCAAGCAGGCTCGCCTGCTGCTGACGCTGCAATGATTTAACCTCCATCGCAGCACTGACATTGGGTGGGAGGCCTCCTTTCAAATCCTTCCCAGCTCTGTTTTTAACCAAGTGCACTCTTCTGTAACCTAGTTTTCTCTTTTTCCTACACTGTCTGCCCTTGTCAGTCCTACCTCTTCCCCCGACCTGAGCAGGTACCTCGTAGAAGACTTAGATTAGCTATTTAGACAGAGACTTGACAGCCGAATTTAACTCCTGCCATGACTAGATGCAAGCACGCTTTCTGCTTCTGCTGGGGTTTTTGCTGGCCTCGGTCCTCGGGGTCACTCAGAGGTTCCATGCAGTAGAAGTTTGGAGAGCTCATGTCATTGGCTCGTTGTGGTTTTATGGGCCCTTGATGTGTAGATGCTTTCGGGTTGATGCCCAAGCAGTGGTCCCAACTGGATGGTTTTTGTCTTTCTGCTTTTCAGATTCTCTCCTGAGGCTGCATCTCGGCGGGGGCTGAGCACAGCAGAGATGAATGCAGTAGAAGCCATTCATAGAGCTGTGGAATTCAATCCTCATGTGCCAAAAGTGAGTCTGTGGAATCCCCACAGGAACTCGTTATGATAGCAGAGAAAGCATTCATTGACCACGGTGTTGTATCTCGACTACACCGGTTATAAAAAATGAATTGCAACCAACAAATGTTGAGGCCCTGTATAGTGTATGGGCATTAGCCTCATTTTAAGCAAAAGCTACACTCAAGGGGCTTTGGGGCAGATTTCCAGACTTCACTTAATAAGGGTAAATCGATAGACCTCGCTGAGGCAGGCCAGGAAGCCTGAAATTGGCAAAAAGTAGATATCCCGGGAGTGTTGACGCATTTGATAGGAATTTCACACCAGTTGTGGTCTCACAAAGACCAAAATCAGGAAATAAATGTTGTTGTGAATAAAACTGGTAAAAAAAAAAAAACACTGACTAATGTGGCATTCCATGTCTCTATAAATAAATGATAGCAATCAGTATTGGCAAGAAAATAATAGAGAAAACTTCAAAATATGAAAAAGTATTTTACTTTGTACCATTTTAATAAGTATATGTAGTAGAAAATATTTGTTTTAGTTATTAACCACATGGTTGACCAATTTATAAATACCAAATATTTCCAATTTTTTTTCTGAAATTGATTTTAAGGGAATCAAATTGGAGCAGAGGATATTTCTGTAATCTTTTATTCCGGAGATGAATGTGTATTTATTATTTACCTATATTTAACTCCCTGCTCTTTTAGTATCTACATGCTGTATTACATAATTATCATCTTCTCTGAGGGAGAAAAAAAAAAGTAGCTGAGAGCCACTTTCAGTCCCGCTATTAAGTACATTTTGACCTCTAAGAAACTTCGTGTGGTTCACCTCAGGTATGACAAGCCATATCTTCCTTGGCAAAATGTCTGATGAAGACTTACTGGTGAAAAATGACAAAGGAAGGCTGTTTGATTTGTGTTGTAGCACTATAGCAAAAGGGTGGGAGGTATGAGTGAGAGAGAAATGATTTATGGAGTTAACTACTTTATTTTGTTGATATCCAGAGTGACAGAGATAAGTGATCTAATATCATTCCTGGGATTTTAGTCAAGTCTGGGTCATTGTTTTCACTTAGCAGGAAATTGAAGAGTGGTTCACTATGCCACGTTTGCATAAGGATGTATTTATTCATTAGGCCTAATGGGTAATGACCAACATAGTATTTGTAGATTTATGTATTGTCCATATGGTGCTCTAACTATATCTCCTTATATAATATTTTTCACCTAAGCTAAAAACATTTATTCCACTTTGACTAAAATTTAAAACTAATCGTGAAAATATTATCCTGAATTACAGTAAACTGAGGTCATCTATTAATACTCATTGAATGCCATTCTCTACAGAGCTATTCAGTAAGCATAAATAAGGCTCTTTTAAAAGTAGTATTGAGCAATAAGTTCTGGATTCTGAGGCAAAAACTCGTGTTCCACTTCTGGTTCTGTCATTTATCAGCCATTGGACATTCGGCTTAGCATTTCTCAGCTCAAAGTTGTCCCTCATCTTTAAATGAAGATAGGATAGAAGCCCTGCCTGTCTTCTGGTAAAGATCAAGTGAGATTATATATCTGAAGTTCTTTGAAAATACTTGAGCACCATTTATTTGTAAATTATTAAGATTTTTGATAATTTTAATATCAAAAATTTTGATAATTATTGATAATTATTAAGAATTTTGATAATGATTGGGGGCTTCTCATATGTAGGAACCAGATCTTTTACTGTGATCCTAACTAGAGCCTTGCCATCTTGGGGCACAAGACAGAAAATCAGTACAGTACTTGTTGGTTAGATATTTTGATGGAAGTAGTCATCTAATGCTATAAAACTGGTCCGAAATGGTTAATTGAGCCTCTCAAAGAATATTAAAAGCCCTAAGAAACACTTTAAGGCTGCCATGGAAGAATTTGACACAGTTAACCGGGATTCCACCTGCAAAATAGAATTATTCTAAAAGTGGAAACATTTCAAATATTTGATTGCACTCTCATTTCTAATCATGAAACTGAGCGAAGGTAGGGAAAACTACCTAGGTAAACTGACTCTCCAGCACTTTGCTTTGTTGATGATTGTGCTGAGGGGGCGATGTGTTTCCAGATCCTCTTCGTCTATCAGAATTCCATGGGGGACGGGTCCTGGGATTCACTGGCCACATCTGTCAAGAATTAGCCACAAATTTCTAATATACAGTATGCAGCGTGCTCTAAACATCTTACTTTAGCAAATACACACACACACACACACACACACACACACACACATTTGGTGCCTTGGAGGCAGAGAATAATAGCCTTAGTTCTAATGTGACATCGGTGAAGGTTATAAACTCTTGGACTCTTAGCATAAGAAGAGGCCTTAAAGATCATCTAGGTCACCTTCCCGTCCTAACCTTGACTCTCTCCTTATAATGATACTGCGATAATCATTTTTATTATTTTTTTTAATGTTATGTGCCAAGCACAGTGCTAACTGAAGTACATAAGCCCTTTCACTTATTTTTCATAATGATTCTGTGAGGTGTGTTATATTATTATCCCTATTACATAGATGAAGGCACCGAAGATTTGGAGAGGTTAAATAATCTGCTCATGGTCATTCAGCAAATAAATGACAGAGCCTGAACCAATTCTGGGTTATCTACTCGTAAATGTTGCCCTCTACTGCCTCCCACATCTCACCAGGGAACAGACCAGCCTAGGCTTGGACCCTTCAAATGCTGGTGGGTACACTGCTTCTCAAGGCATTCAGTCCCTTAAGGGCAATTCAGGTTTCTTCAAGATATCTTAAATGATATGACTTCCATGGCTTCTTTTTCTCTACCACAGGAAGTTGTCAGTGGCCCACCACAGGAATTTTCAGTATCTGCATGCTGTATTATATGATTATCATCTTCTCTAAGGGAGAAAAGAATGCCAAATATAGTAACTGAGAACTGCCTTCCATGTATTTCCAGCTTTGCTTCATCTGGTATCCCATTAAGCAAAGATACATAGGTAATATTTCACCATCCATTGATAAATACCAGTCATTTACCTTCAGAGGGCTACTCTTAGGAACGCTCTTCGCCTGCAGACATGAGGAGTAGGGAGGGAGTGTTGCTCCTTACCACATCACAGGACTGGGAAATAAATAAGAATAGTAAGAAACCCCTTATCTCTGTTCTGAAGGAGAGCCCCTTCAGTGGTCGGTTGGATGTGAAACACTAGAATTTCTGAAGTATTAGATTGCAGCAAACTAGTAAAGAGGAAGCAAACACACAGGCTCATCATTACCAACAGAACTGTCACTCCCTCCTGAGAAACTGTAGCTGTGCCGCCAGCTCCCATAGGAAAAGGCATAAACTCCTTGTGCGATTCTTCAGTACCCTTCATAATCTGACCCAACTTGGTTTTCCTTGTTTCCACCTCGTAACTATTTGTTCGTCATTCCAGACACATTCTCTTTCCTTTCCCTTTTTCACTTCCTCTGAGGAAATCCTGTTGCCCCTTCACCACCACCATTAAGAGTCACCAGGAAGCTTGTTCTTCTTCATCAGAAGTAGTCTCTCTCTTCTCTGTGGTCTCTCAGTATAATGCATTGATTCTGTACTTGCTGTTTACCTTTTGTTGAGGAAAATTGGGGATATTAATGATGCTGGCGATTTTCAACAACTAAAAACAAAACTCAAGAAGACAAAGAAATCTCGAATCCATTAGAGGATGTTTTCCATTTAATGGGATTAAAATTGCTTTGCGTATAAAGAAAATTCCATTCATGTAATGCTGGACAATCAAAGGACTGCCCTCATCACAGTTCTATACCTTCATCTTTGTATTGTTATAGTTTATTGGATTTGGGGCCTTCTTTCTGCAGATATGCTCCATGCTCACCCTGCTCTTCCTCAGTAGTCTTGAGATTTATATAGGGTGGGGGTGAGGGAGACATTTCTATCAGTGACCCATCAACTACACAGACCTGGGTTAACCAGAGCTTATGTGCTCTCAGTATGCTGTAGCTACACTGCAAGCCTTGCACTGCGAGGAGACACATTTTTGTTTTGGAGGATGTTACATTAACTCCTTCAGGGTACCAAAGATAAACTTCCATTTTCTGACAAGTTTCTGAAAGGTGGGCTAAATTATTTGTTTGTTACCGGCAATATTAGATATGTCTTTTGCTCTATAGTGGTATTATAAAAAACAATCTACTCATATTTAAGACTATTTCTAGCCTTTTTTCCTATGTATTTTAAATACTTTTACTTTACTATTTTAAAAAAATTAGCATAGGGCTCTTAACATGGACTTTATGTTTGGGTATTGGGGGTGTATTTGTTTCTGAGGGAGGATTATCAGATTTTCAGAGTTCTTTAACCTTGAAAAGGTTATTCTCCAACTTACAGTTCTAGTATTTTATCTATGTGCCTTCAGACTCTTTTAAGACAGTTTCTATAACTGGATACTTCTGTTTTGGATACTTCTTTTTTATGGGTGTGAGGTAAAAAACATGTAACATGAGATCTACCCTCTTACCAAATTTTTAGGTGTACAGTACAATCTTGTTAACTGTATTAGTCCATTCTCATGCTGCAAATAAAGGCATACTCAAGACTAGGTGATTTATAGAGGAAAGAGGTTTAATTGACTCACAGTTCAGCATGGCTAGGGAGGCCTCAGGAAACTTACATTCATAGTGGAAGGGGAAGTAAACATATCCTTTTTCACATGATGGCAGGAAGCAGAAGAATGAGCAAAAGGGGGAAAAGCCCCTTATAAAACCGTCAGATCTCATGAAAACTCACTGACTATTATGAGAACAGCATGGAGATAACTATTACCTCCCACCAGGTCTCTCCCACTATACATGGGGATTATGGGAAGTAAAATTAAAGAAGAGATTTGGGTGGGAACACAGCCAAACCATATCATTAACTATATGCACATCACTGTACAGTAATCTCTAGAACTTTTTCATCTTGCACGATTGAAACTTTATTCTTATTGAACAGCAACTCCTCATTTT